GTGTTGGCGTGGTTGCTGTTGTAGTTAAGTATTTTGTCGGTATGGGTGGCCTTCCTGTGTATACTTCTCTGGAGCTCACCATTGGCCCTTTGTTCGACCATTACGTTGAGGAATGGGAGTCGTTTGTTGGTCTCCTCTTTCCTGGTGAATTTTATGCCAGTGAGGATGTTGTTGATGAGCTGGTGGGTTTCCTCCAGTCTTGCGCGCTTGAAAATGACAAATGTGTCATCCACATAATGGGCCCGTAGTTTTAGCTGGATAGTGGGAAGGGCTGTCTGCTCTTGTCCAACCACCAAATCAAACCAGACCCCAAGTAACAAGCGGGACAAACTAATAACGCTTCATCAGATGATGTTACCTAGTATGGTGATGTAATATCTGCAAACCAACCTACCAGCTCAACGATAAAATCAACAACCCCAGCAATGACTTTATTCAGAATGAGCATTGCATTTGCACGAGCATCTGTGCTGTTGGCCAGTGTTATGTTGTGAAGACTGTCCTCTTATGTAAGTATTCAGAAATTTTGTAAATCATTTTATTCATGTGCAGGATGCTTGTTTCTGGAAAAGCTAGCATTCATTCCGCAATGGAAGGTGACAATGAGCAGTGTGTGTTAGATACGTACTAGGCTATTTCAGAGAGTAATAAAGAGTCAACCACATTGCAGTGGGTTTGGAGTTACCTGTAGACAAAAATGGGTCAAGTGGGCAGATATCATTCCCCAAATACATTCTTGAATTTGATTGTTTGTTATAATAACTCAATCACCATTACTGATTTTGCCCATCACTGAAACGATAAATACTATCGTAAGCACCACCCATTATGATACTGTCGTATGATCTTATGGACAGAACAACTTAGGATTTCAAAGGAGTGAGACTCAACGTTGGATCCTCTTCAGAACCTGTACAACAATTTCTGTTGTATTAATGTAACCTGTAACTATGTGTTAACATGCAATAAATATATCATATTAACTACAAGAGACTGTCCTAGTTAGACCAGGAAGTGGTTTTCCTCTACCACTCTAGACCTAGCAAGCCATATAGTTTCCTACAATTACAGCTCCGTGACCATGTCCATAGACCATCAATCACAAAGGGACTGTATCCCCAGGCGGTCAGAGCCTTTACGTCAACTTAGTGGATAATGCTAGTAATACTCGTCCTCCTTCAGTGGCAGCCACTCTATCCCACTAATGACATCTCTGTTATGGCACTGCCATAACCATGAATGACCAGGCAATGCCCACACTGCGAAGGTTGGTGGTAACCATCTCCTTGAGCCATGCTGGTTTCACTCCCCGAAACTGGAACCCACCCACTGTTCTGGATTGGACAGAGCTCCCCAGAGGCAAATTGTTGTTTGGTATCCACCCAGAGATTTCCCGGAGTACCAGCTCTCCTGGATTCTCAACCAGGATTTCATACCAATATTGGAAAGCAGCTAACATAATCGAAGACCCCTCCCACCCTGGTTATAATCTCTTCCATCGGTCAGAAGAGACAAAAGTTTGAAAACATGTTCCAGCAGATGTAAGAACAGCTTCTTCCCTGCCATTATCAGACTTCTGAACAGACCTCTCACATATTAGAGTTGCTCTTTCTCTGCATCTTCTCTGTAGCTGTAACACTATATTCTGCATTCTGTTCTATTACCCTGGATGTACTTATGTAAGATATGATTTGTCTGGACAGCACACAAAACAATACTTTTCACTGTAATGCAGTACATGTGACAATAATAAATCAAATCAAATCCAGCCAAAGTTTCAGATTGATGACCTTTCATCAGACCTGGTGAAAGTTACATATGGAATCAATTTTGAGAAAGTTCAGAGACAGGGGAAGGGGAGTTGGGGGAGACATAACAAAAAGGAATATTTGCGATATGGTGGAAGTCGGGAGAGATTAAATGACAAAAGGCTGGAGGGTGTGAAGGTCACAACCAGTTGTTTCGGGACAAAGAAAACAAAATATGTGTCTAAAGCAATCATTTTAACTTTCCTTTTCCTTTTGAAAATTGGAATCCAGCCTCCGAATTTGGGTAAAGCCTAATGACTTGTGTGTAAAATAGTAAGCTGTGACAACCCATTTCTCCCACTCTCTAATGGTTAGTGGCAGGTCAACTCAATCCATGTGGCAAGGGATCCTGAATATAAATTAAGAAATTTATGGAGGAAAAAGTGCCCCACGAGGAATTGGATTGGATGAGGTTCACTGTTAATAAATTTTCCTGTCCTTATCTTTGTTTTTTCGTCTCGCTTGCAGGGATCTTTCAAGGTGTCAGTGTATTAAGTGAAGCCCTTTTGGCCTGTTTGTGTTAATCACATGGTGCAGATCAGGGTAATAAGCTTAATGGAGGGACATGACAAAGTGAGACAGGGCCTTCAACATATAATAAAGGATTTTATGATGGTTTTAGACATCCAGCCACCTTATTATTCAAGCCTGAATTAGTTTCCGTTTGTGATTGAATGTAGATCAGAAAGTGAGCTGACTGTTCACAGTTAAGACACGTCATGCATTATTTATCTAACAATGAGTTTGCCCCAGCGACCTATTGAGTGAAGACATTGACTGTACTGGTTCTCATGGTGAAAAAAAACTCCTTTAGTTCCACTGACTTACTTCATATAAAAGGTGTTGTTGCGGGAATCTATATGGATCCTAGCTGGAAGTTGGTAGATTATTATTTGAATGGCTGTTAATTGAGAGAGGGAAATGTTCAACGAGACCTGGGTGTCCTCCTGCACCAGTCACTGAAAGTAAGCATGCAGGTGTAGCAGGCTGTAGAGAAGACAAACTGTAATTTGACCTTCATAATGAGAGGATTCAAGTACAGGAACAAGGATTTCTTATTACTATTGTACAGGCCATTGGTGAGGCCGCATCTGGAATATTGTGTGCAGTTTTAGCTTTCGTATCTGAGAAAGGATGTTCTTGCCACTGAATGAACGCAGCGAAGGTTTACCAAATTCATTCCTGGGAAGTCAGGACAGATTTATGAGGAAGGATTAAATCAGTTAGGATTGTACTCACTTGAGTTTAGAAGAATGGAAGGGGAGTCTCATAGAAACCTGTAAAATTCTAATGAGACTAGACAGACGAGGTGCAGGAAGGATGTTCCTGATGGTTGGGGAATCTATAATGAGGGATGATAGTTTAATGATTATGGGGTAAACCTTTTAGGACAGAGCATTGAAGAAATTTCTTCATCCAGGGAATGTTGAACTTGTGGAATTCACTACCACAGAAAATGATTGAGGCCAAAACATTCTGTTTTCAGGAAGGAGGTAGATTTAGCTCTTGTGATTACGGGGTTCAGGTGTCATGGGGAAAGGGTGGGATTAGGGTATTGAGTTCACTGATCAGCCATGACCATAACAAATGGTGGAGTAGCCTCTAATGGCCTACTCCTGCTCCTGTCTTTTACACTTCTTTGTTAATATATGAAGCATTCTTTGCTCCAGGCCTACCCATGTCCTTCCCTCCTCTCCTTCCAGTTTACTCTTTGCTGTTTTCATGCCATTTTGTGCTCTTGCTCTGATCTGAATAATTTTATCAATTTTGTTTTCAAATCCCAACCCTCTGTTGCTTTCTCTCAATACATTTCCTATTCCTCCCTCCCTTGGCTTTCTGACCTCCATTTCTGGACATAAACTAGAAATCAATATCCCCTGTAAGCCCACTGATTCCCACAACAATGTCGTCGACACTTCCTCACACCCCACTTCCTGGGAGGACTCTATTCTAATCTCTCACTTCTTCAAACTCCATAGCGGCAGTTTTGATGATGTACCATTTTGCTCTGGTCATTTGGTTCCTTGATTGAGCCTGTTTCATTTCCCTAACTTCTGCTGTTCTCCTTTGTTCTGCATTCTCTCTGCCAGACTGACTAAGTATTCCCGTTTGTTTTTATTTTGGATTTCCACCCTCTGCAGAATGCAGATAGAGTTCTCTTTATCCTCACCTTCCATCCCACAAGCCTCTTCCATTCAATGGGTTGCTATTTGCCATTTATAAAGTCATAGAGGTCGACAGAAAAAGACCCTTTGGCCCATCTAGTCTGTGCCAGTCCAAAACAACCACTTATCTATTCAAAATTTCTGCCACCTGTCTAATGCCACTGCCAAACTCATCTTTCCTCCGGTTTCAGAATTCCAGTTCCTCTGCCACACCCTGACCGACTCTTCAATTACCACAACACTCCCTCCCCTTCTTATAACATCTACTGTGCAAGCACGGAAGCCGAAACAACTGCTGTTTACCTTCTTCCTTCCAAGCAGCCAAGGCCTAAACATTCCTTCCAGGTGAAACAATGATTTACTTATTCTTTCAATTTAGTACACTGTATTTGCTGTTCATGATACACTTTCCTTTACATTTTGAAGCCTAAACCTAATCTGTGATTATGCTACTGTCTGATCCATAAATCCCTACCCTGTGGAAGCAGGCCATTTGGCCCGTTGAGTCCACACTGACGCTCTAAAGAGCATCCCACCCAGACCCACCCCTTACCCCTGTAACCCTACATTTCCTATGGCTAAACCACCTAACTTACACATCCCTTGACACTACAGGGCAATTTAGCATGGCCAATCCACTTAACCTGCACATCTTTGGACTCTGGGAGGAAACCGAAGCACCCAGAGGAAACCCACGCAGACATGGGGAGAATGTGCAAACTCCACACAGACATTCGCCTGAAGGTGGAATCGAACCCAGATCCTGGCGCTGTAAGGCAGCAGTGCTAACCACTGAGCCACCAGTCTCAGATCTGATCCATTGATAGCCATTGTGAAGCCTTGTGTAGAATAGGCCTTCCCCACTTTGCTCACTTCACTGAAGGTGACTGGATAATGAACAGATCTGTGTGTAATGTAGGGGGAGCTGTCTTTGAGTCAAAGCAAACTAACTCTTGAAACTATGTTTGAGATGTTTTCATTGAGGTCCGATCCCATCATAAAGTTTTGTTATGTTTCTCCTCCACAGATGACAGCCACGGCCCAGCAGACCACCAAGACGCAGCCAGTGCATATCCCATCTTCCTCTGCAGCTGCCACCCCTGTGGCGACTGTACCACTCGACCCTCAAGCACAGCTGGAGTCTGACAAGAGAGCAGTGTACAGGTACGAAAATGATACAGAGCCACCAGTGTGAAAAGCATTTGCAGAATAGCACGCAAGTAGCGAGAGCAGTGTCAAAGGGTTGAGAGAAATTTACACAGTCGTCTGATTGTACAGGAACATAAAAGGGTTTCAGCTGATTTTCTGAACCGCATTCTCCTGGTGTGAATTGTAGTAAATGGAGTACAAACCAATGGCTCTGGTACATACCATTTCTAGGATAATACCCCTGGACCCCCTCTGTGATTTCCACTTTCCTTACGGTGGGTAAAATTTCAGCTGAATGTTTTGCACTGAAAGCTCAGCAATGGTTCCTATCTATTAGATTACCACTGAATGGCTGTAATGTTTATATGGTTTCCCTATGAGTGAGAGCCATATGGATGCCAATTTTTGCTACAATCTATGCTTCACAAACTGATGACCCTAGTGCAAGTCTTATACAATGTGTAAAACGCAAGGCCAGAAGCTGAGTGCATACAGCCTCTCAATATATGCCTATGAATTTCTCTACAAACTCTTAGATTTCATTGCCTTAAAGAGACCTACACTTAAATTTTAGAAGAAACAAAGCAAATTGTTCAGTAAATTCCAAAGAACTATCTTGATTACGTTTCCTGCCACCCCACTCACTGGAAGGACTGAATTTCATTTTTCCAGTTTCCTCATCTCCAAATCTGTTCTGACAATGTGGCCTTCACCAGTATTTCCTACAGCTTCCATTTTCCTTCTGACGATTCCCTGTCATCATTGGTACACAATGCTGTTGAACTGTGCATGTCCAATTTCCTGCACTTCTCTTGCCCCTCCGCCGACCTTCTGAGGTCAAAACAATAATCTACCTGTGTTTGCTTCAGTTGAATAATCTGCGTCTTATCTACACTGGGGGAGTGTACAATGGTGACTTGAGTTGCTGAACACTTTCAGTCAGCATATCTCTGTGCTTCCGGTCAGTTGTTATTGTCAATCTCTATCCAAAACTCATTCTCATCTCTCTATCCTTGGTCTCCTACACTCTTCAAAACTTAATCTCTCCAGCCCTGCACCTTCCCTATCATTTTAATTTTCCTTCTCACTTTACCTTTCTCTGTACTTACTTAAAATCTATTCCATTTCTACCTTTGGTCAATTCTGGCCAAAAGTCTGCAGCCAAAAAGACCAACTGTCTCTTTCTGCTGAGTATTTCCAGCATTCTTTGTTTTCAATATGTAGAGAATCTCCAGTTCATGTGTTTTTTTCCATCCTTTTTGTCAGTTTCAGTAATGGCTCATGGTTTTACTAGGTTACCAGTGCTACCAGAATGCTCTGCCTTGTGCACTGTTGGGGAAGACTCAAAATGAAAACAGTTCAATGGCCAAGAACAACCCAAGTGTCCAATTCCTGATTTTTCTTTGTCTCAACCTGAACTGAGTCTGACTGCAGCCAATTCCAAACGAGGAATTGATTGTATCTACCTGGGGTCAATACTATATCATACATTTGTTGACTCTTCCCAGGATCCCTGAGTGATGGTTCAATTCTTTGAGTATATGAACAGTGGCGTACACAACCTTCCCTTCATGTTATCTGCGTGTTTTTTTTGGTCTTTTAGCCCATCCCTCAGCATCATACCCTCCTTGCCCATGCTGTGATACGGATACTGATGTACATTCTTCATTTTCCTGAAAGTCATCATTGTGGCCCTATTGATCTTCATAATCATGAAAGATGGAAACCTGAAATGTAGGCAGTTTGTGCTGTTGTCTCAAGATGGATTGATTTTGCTCCGAGATAGTAGGAACTGCAGATGCTGGAGAATCTGACATAACAAGGTATAGAGCTGGATGAACACAGCAGGCCAAGCAGTATCAGAGGAGCAGGAAGGCTGACGTTTCGGGCCTAGACTCAGGGTCTAGGACCGAAACATCAGCCATGCTGCTTGGCCTGATTTTGCTCCGAGTCCTGTTTAGTAATTGTAATTGTAAATGTAAGTGATGCTATTTTCATATGATCACTATGAATGACTCTGTGGTGGTGAAGGGGGTCTTGCCGCTGACTGGCGAGGTCAGTGTTGCTCCTTTCTAGCAAAGGCCTGCTGTATTAAAGTGCCAGTAGTTGGGCAGCAGTGGCCCCTCACCATTGGCACCAAGGCTGGGTGGGTGGCGGTGTGACACTCAGCGGACCCCTTTCTTCCGAATGGTAAGCCACTCAATGAAGTAATGAGTCTTTTAGAAATGTACGCATCTGTGGGATGTTGGCATCACTGACAGGGCCACAGCGTATTGCCTTGGAGAAAGTGGTATGAGCTGCCTTTTTGAATCACTGCATGTGGTGTCATACGGCCTGGGTGCTTTTAGGAGGGGAGTTCCAGAATTTTGACCCAGAGACACTGAAGGGAGGATGATCTCTTTCTAAGTTGAGATAAAGTGTGTCTTCGTGGGGAGCAGGCAGCTGGTGATGTTTCTATGCTGCTACTGCCCTGTCCTGCTCGGTGGTAGAGGTGATGTGTATAATCAAGGGATCTCAACCTGAAAGCCCACAAGTAACCCAACACCAATTACCTGCAATGAGCTCCCATGCCCAGATGGAGGTGTTCATACAGGGTTTTTAATCAGTTTAAGCTATTACCATGAATACATGCTATCTATTTATTTATTTCTTAATAATGTTGCCAGTGAATTTTCTATGGGGAAAACATTCAATTCTGCTATATGATTGAGGTAAATTTACTCACAACTCTGTGAGTTACCCACTTCCAAGATTAAGTCGTGTTTCTTGAAGGTTTAGAGGCTTGAAGTTGGATTTTTCTCAACAAGTCATTTGTCTTCCTTGCAAGGACTGTTAGGATGAGATAAGCAGACCTGAATAGTCTCTGTTTTGAAGATGATCTGACAAAGTATTAAACTCTGGTTTAGTACTTTGGTACCTCCTGGTTTGAGGTGGCTTCCTGAACAAAGAGATGTGAAACAACCGCACATAGTGTGCTTGTTAGCAGCCTGGAAGATGGAAGGTTGCAGACCTGAAATATCAGATATAACAAGGTGTGGAGCTGGATGAACACAGCAGGCCAAGCAGCATCAGAGGAGCAGGAAGGCTGACGTTTCGGGTCTAGACCCTGTTCCCACTATCTTTAGACCTGAAATATCAGTTCTGTTTCTCCCTCTCCCTGCCCCCCACCACCCCCCTCTCTCTATCCCCACATATTTCAAATTTAATGTTGACTTTGCCCTTCGTGCACCTTCTCTGCAACCATAATGTTGCATTCTTCACTCTGTTCTATTACCTTTATGCACTTTGTATGGCATGATTTACCTGTACTGCACGCAAAACAATAATTTTCACTATATCTACGTGCATGTGACAATAATAAATCCAATGAAAAAGATGCCCCTAACTGCTGAGTTTCCAGCTATTTCTGTTCTGATATTAATTGAACAATACAGGTTCGTTCTTCAGGGCTACAGGTTGAGGTCCCTCAGGGTTCTTACAAATTCTTTATCTTCTTGCTGAAGTTTCAGAGGTACCATTGACTGGGATATAACGCGAGACCAATATCATGGGGAGGCAAAGTTATATCTAAATATCTCATAATATGCTGTTTCTTGTTTCCAACTTGCTGGCTCATTGGCATTTATGTTCAGGACTAGCAAAGAAAAGGCATTTGGAAAGATCCCTTCACCAGATAAAATAAATGATTCCTAACGTTCATAGCAGGGTTCCCAATTATATTCCATTATAGTCCACTTGCTCGATTCATTCACCATTCTGAGATCTGGGAGCAGCTCCATGCCTTTAATAGACCATTATGGTTATGCATGTTATTATGTGAACAACTGTGTTTCTTTGAGGCTGTAACTTTGCACGGAATATTCACTCCACGACCAACCACATTTCTTAGTTCTGTGTGGAAGTTAGCCAACTCTCTTTTATCTGTTCAGGCTCATAGAAATATGTTCTCAATTTTCTCATTTAATGCTACCACAGAACAGCATCTAACTAATGGCATTGCTTCTGTATCATTCAAGATTATTTCCTATTTTCTGCCCTGCGCCTAGAGTTTATTCAGTAACAGCTGATTAATGGTTCATTTGATGATGAGCCTTATAGACAGGAGATGTGTTAACGGGTTTGCATTCATGGTGATCTGATACTGCCCCCAGCCTGTTCCCTGAGTTTTTAAAAATGGATTGCAAGTAGCAATAAATAGCAGTCTGCTGGTTGGTGGTGACTGACAGTGTGACTGTTCCCCTGTGACATGCAGTAGGTCAAACTCATAATTGTCATTTTCACCTAACCTATTATTCCAGAAGCTCAGGGAATCAGATGCAACACCAGTTTTCTACATTCAAGAAACTGAGAGAAATTTTTTTAGGTATTATGGGATCAAGGGGAGGGAAAGAGGGAGGAATATGGCGTTGAGAGAGAGGATCAGCCATGATCATATTGAATGGCATAGGAGACTCAAAGGGCTGAATAGCCGAATGTTCCTAGTTCCTATGTTTCCCTGTTTTGCAGCTCACCTGATTTTATATTTGCTGCATTGATGAGTCATATTGGGAAGGGTGTAAAATCAGCTTTACCCTCAAAACCTGATAGTCCAGATCTCTCTCTTCTCCCTCCCACCATCCTTCACTCTCTACTTCCCCCCTTTGCCTGGCACCATACCTCAGGATTTGGTTCAAATTATCCCCAGTGCATAGAAACATTCAACTTCAACAGGGGCATGAAAACAGCCTTCAGTGGTGGAGAAGATTGAGTGGAAGGGGCATGAGGTATGGTAGACAATCGATCAAAAACTGATCTTTGCCATAGTTGAAAGTCCCAACAAATCTTTCTCTCAAGGCCCGTGTATTCTATACCACAGTAGCAATTGGGTTTCTGCCATCTGATATCAATTACTGGAATCTGTTTGTCAGATAGAAATCTCTGTAGTAACCACAGTGGGTGTATGTTCACTGAATTTGGGTGGTCTCATCAATTTATTGTGGTGCTGACATCTCAGCATAAGGCTGTCCTATGGAGCA